TTGGGTTTCCTTTTTTTTGAAGCAAGTAACAAGTGTTAATTTTCTCATGAAAAACTCCCAGATGAGAGCACCAACTATAGGAGGAATCGGTCTACACCAAACCTCTCTTACAGGAGAAGGCTACAGGGGGACAGGAGACTAGGACAAGACCTCGAAGAAGAAAGCACAAGAGAAAGAATTTGAAGGGGAAGGAGTCCAGATTCAATAATCAAACTTAGAAGGGTCATTTGAAGAGTCTTAATACGTCTGGAATCTCAGTGTGTCTAATATCCCACCTGAAACCCAAATCATAATCAAAACCATTTTTTGAAGCAAATGGGCTCAGAAAACTTTGAAATAGATTCCCCTTTAAAGGAAGATAGTGCACGCTAAGGAAGGAAATTTGTCATTTAATGGAGATTATCCCATCCATTCATGTCTGCATAATTTCCAAAAGATCATACTTGATACAAGGGAGAACACATGATAAAATGGTATGCATAGCCTATCATGGTCTATGGAGAAGCCCAAGTATCCCTAGCAGGCCCATCCATTGTCCATCAGCCCATGAATGCTTACTACCACCTTATGGCATAGTTTATCCCTATCCACAAGTAGCCTCCACAACCATTTTCCAAGCAATGCCAAGTTTCTAAATCCCATACAACCTCTCCTAAACCTCTTAGTCTTTTGCTTCTGCACACTACTTCTTAATTAATTAGATGGTCTTTTCTCTCTTCCCTAGGTTCCCATAGGAAATTCCTCATTATTTTTTCACTCTTTGCCACCCTATTTGGGATCCTAAACACATATGTAGTACACCAAGAGATTGGCTAATGTTGACTTGATTATAGGAATCCTAACTCCCAATGGGACATATTCTTTCTTCCATATTACCAATCTCTTGGACAACCTTTTTACTACTAGGGTCCAAAAGCTATGATCCTTAGGCTGTGTTTGGTTGCAATGCAAATTTATTTGCACTAGTACAAATGCATGGGAGTGCAAATGTAAAAAATGCAAAATTTTGTTTTGGATTTTACTTTATTCTGCTTCATGTCCTAATTTACTTCATTTGTACTGCAATCAAACAAAATAAGCTAAAATTTGAAACAAAAATAGGTCAGAATTTACACTCAAATCATTTGCACTGCCAAGGTTTTGCATCAGTGCAAATTTATTTGCATTGCAACCAAACACAGCCTTAGGATTAGCACCTAGAGAAAGGCTTAGATATTTCAATGATCATGATGAAACTTAGCATCCTACAAAGGCTACGATCTCTCTTCTCTCCATGTTGACTCCTACCATGCAACCCTTATCAAAACTTAACCCATTGTTCTTCATCATAGAACAAAAGTGTCACCCAAAAATTGCAAATCAGTGGCCATCTCCCAACTCTCCAACCCAAACAATTGCATTCAATTTACCCTTAAAATTAATTTACTGAACGCATCGGCTACGAGGGTAAAAAGAAATGGAGATAGGGGATAGTTGTCAAGGCGTCACCTAGGCGACTAGGCACCCTTGGTTGGGCGCCTCGCCCAAACACCTTTACTTTTAGCAACTAGGCACCCTTCTAGGCAACAAAAATGACAAGGTGGGCACCTTTTATAATATCATATATCTTGATGTATCTTATTAATGTATGTGTTAATACATTTTACTATATGCTATATATATACTTTGTTTTAATGCTTTACTATTGAAATTTAAAAGACCAAAGGGTTTTGAGGAGAGAAAAAGAAAGAAAGAAGGAAAGAAGGAAAAGAAAGAGGAAAGAAAGAATAGAATAATAAAATTCCTTTTTTTCTATTCTCTCTCTAATTAAATAAAACAGAAACTCCATCCTTGTTCCATTTTCTATTTTACTTTCCATCTTGAATATTTATCATATAAAATTAATAACCTTCTTTAGCTGCTAATTAGTATGAATTTGCTCTATTAAATACTTATTATAGTGGTATTATTTTTGAAAATAATGAAATTAATACATGTAAAAGATTTCTATCTTTTAGATGTGATGATTTGCCACATTTTTAGAGGAAATTTAATGCTTTTAATAAAGAGAATTTCTATTTTTTCAATTAATATACATGCTGAATGGTATATAAAGCTAGGAAACTAGTCAAAAGTCAGTTTTTTATATTACAAAACTTTTACCGCTTAGGCGCCCGCCTAGGCAACTAGGAAACTAGGCACCCCAGTGTCGCCCAAAATGGCCTAGATGCTTTGAAAACTATGATAGGGGGTCACCTTGTCTAAGCCCTCTACAAGCTGGGAAAAAATCTCAAGTATTCCATTCACTAGGACCAAGTAATCACATGTTAGAATACATCCCAAGATCCACTTACACCATCTATACCCAAAACCACATCTACTTGGTACTTCCAGTAGAAATGACCAATCCACTAGATCATAGGCTTTCTCTAAATCTAGCTTACAAATCATTCCTTTTTTCTTGTTCTTCTCATCTCTTCCACACATTCATTTGCTACAAGGATTTGATCAGTGATTTGTCTATATTGCGAAAAGGCTCCTTGATTCAATGTGGTAGATGGAAGTACCTTTCTAAATCTCAAAAACAAGACCTTAGCAATGATCTTATATAAGCTAGCCACCAAGATAATGGTTCTAAAATTTTAAGAGATCTTAGGTTTTTGGAGGATCTGGTCCAAAAAAGTGTCATTTACTCCTGAATTTATTATTCCCCTATCAAAGAATTCACTAAAGACATCCATTAGATCCAACTTCAAGATATACTAGTTGTCTTGATAGAAGGCCATTGTAAAACCATCTAGCCACAGAACCTTTAATCTATCCATAGAGAAAACAACTTCCTTTAATTCCTCTATCTCAAACTTCCATTCTAACATTTCCTTCAATTCCCACTTAGGCTTGGCCAATCCAATACTTCCACAGTTCCACCATGAGCCTCTTTTTCAAAGGCCTCCAATAATAGATATAAAGTGATCCACAAAAGCCTTAGTTATATCCTCCTGTCAATTAGTTATAACTCCTAACTCTAAATTGGATGCAAAGTTCTTACACCTTCCGCTAGCCACTACATGAAAAAATTGTGCTAGCATCACTTTCCTTAATCTGTCTGTATCTTGACTTTTTATTCCAACAAATCTCTTTTTTATATAAAATATCTTTCAACTACCTATTCAACCCCCTCCTCAACTCTCTATCCTCTTCCACATACTCTCCTTGAGTTTCCTTGTTCAACTTCTCAATTTGAACTCTTCCTTCCTCTCTTCTAATCTCCATAATGTACCAAATTTGATTCCTTGTTTTTTTCTTTTCAGCATTCATAACTTCTTATGAAGCCTCATTCCTTTCCATTTAATTGTGGCTTGGCACTCTTCCCACCATTCCTTATTGGATAAAACTCGGGTGACAAGGCCACATATTCTTAAACCTTATAGGAGTCGAGCCTCCACCACCCACTCTTCAATCTAAAAGTGATAGGTCAATGGTCAGATGTAAATCATATTCTTAAACCTAAAATCCAGTCCTCCCCAATGTTCCTTCTGATCTAAGAAAAACAAGAATCTATCAATCTTGGAGTAGATGGGATTACTTTGGAGGTTTGTTAGCTTGAAGTAAAGGGGCTCCTTTGGTTCACATTAATTAATGGGTTGATTAAATTTCTCCATACTAGTGATTATTTGTTGCCTAGGGTTGTTTGTCTCTTCTGTGTACCTCATAACATTAAAATCTCTTCCCAGGCGCCAAGGTCCTTTCCCACAACCTTCTAATATCATAGATTCTTCCCACATTTCATATCTTCCTTTGTACCCAAGGCCATAAGCATTTTTCAATACCCATTCATACCCATCCTCTCCTTTTCTGAACTTTACTAAGATAAAAAATATCCCTACCAATTTTTCCAGATTTTCTATACTTAACTCTTCCACATGGTCACTATTCCTACTAAAGCCCCCCCCCCCATGAAGGTGCCATAGCTCAACCAAACCTTTCGACAGACTTAGAATCCATCTCCTATCAAATTCTGCCAACTTTGTTTCTTGTAATATGATATATTTGGTTTCCTTTTCCTAATCATTTACCTAATGTTTTCTCTTCCTTACACTACCCAAACCCCTGCTCACCTAGATTTTTTTCACCTAGGAGGGCACCTTATTGCCTAGGGAGGAGTCTAGTTTCCTAGACAAGTGCTTTGTTGCTATAACGTACATATAATATATAGGACTACATTTGTAACAAGCTGAAGTTGTATGATAATATATGCTTCTGCTTGAGGGAACTCAGAAACATGTGAATAATGTTTTAAAAGTAGCTAGAATGTATTGTTGTAGTTGACAAAGCAGTTCTGTCCATCTACTCTAATTTTACTTACGGAAGGGTAGTTCAATTTATGTGTCCAGAACTGTGTCTGGTATCATTGCCACTGCACTTGCAACATTTTAGGTTGGTCAATACAAACTTTACGAGAATATATTTTTTTCTACCACAAATGCTTTGAGTTATCAATACAACATTAGGTACCATTGCTACTTCTTCAGGAAAAGTCAAATTTGGTGTTTCTACTATAAATGCCAATGCCTATATTTTTTTTTGTGGAAGTGGTTATCTGATATGATGTGACAAGACAATTTCTCAAAAAAATTGTATTGACCAACACAAAACGTTGCAAGTAGAAGTGGAAATGGTACCAAGCACAACCTTAGTTAATGTTCTGATCTGTTTTGACAAATATCATGAACTAAAACTGGTTCTCCCTCTCATTAGCTATACTGCAATTTTATACTGTGAACAAGCCTCATACTTTACATTGTATCCTTCTAGAAACCATTTAAAATAGGTTCTTTCCAGAATAGATAAAATTGTGCATGTCTAAACCAATGAAGTATGATCAATTAAGTATACAATGATCTCCTTTTCTGTTTCATTTTTTAACACAGATTATCGAAACCTCAGTATCATTTATAAGCTGAGCTGGAGATGGAAGATACCAACTTAAAGTTACAAGATAAAAGCCTTTTGATATTTACCTATAATTGGGATCCCAATCACCAGGATCAGGAAGTGACATATTGTTTTCTGACTTGTCAAAAGCAGCTTCTTTGGCTGGTTGGAACGGTATATTAGAGCTCTGCAAAAGAGATCCTTGAACATTCTGAATGGTTGAGGAATTTCCTGAGTTGACCCCATTGCATCCCCTTTGTTGTCTCCAATTTGGTGGATTAAAACTTGACTGCACACACTGAGGAGAATTACCATGTCCTCTAGAGTTCCTGTCAGTGTGACTGTAGTTAGCACCATCAGTGTGATACCCTTGAGAGTGTGGAGATGATGCACTCTCCTGAGACTGTGAACTTCCAGGATATCCCCAACTTCTTCTTCTATTAAACTGGGACACTGCCGTCATTTTGCTCAATGGTGAACCATGAAAACCACTGCTTCTCACTGGAGAACTTGGACTATACTTTGGAGAACCAGCAGAAACCTGAATGTGGGAGCTTGGAGGAGTGAACTGTGAAGGACTAGCACCAAGGGACATTGGCACAAAATTTCCTGCAGATGAACTGACACCAAGACCATTCCCATGAGAGATTTGAGAAGTTCTTCGCCTAGTATCAGGACTAGCTCCAAGGATTGGCACTCCACCTTGTGCATGGATGCTCATACTAGATGGACCAACAGGTGAATAATATGCATACATACTACGATTATCACCATAACTTCCATAGCTGCTTCCAAATCCAGCATTGTCATTATAGCTACCATGGCTTCCTAAGCTGCCATAACTACTGGCATGAGAGTATGAGGTCACCTGAAAATGTTGGCTGCTCTGTAGAGGACCTCTGTTCGTACTAGTAACCTGTAAACCAAATCAATCTAAAATTATTGCACAAAAGGATAATATAATGATTAAATGCTACAGCTGAAACAAAGATAATATTGAAGACATGGGAAGGAAAATCCTGATATAAGAAAATGGCAACAGAAATTATTTTGAATACATGCTCAATCTCAAAGATATTATTGAAGACCACAGAGGAAAAGCAAATTCACCTGAGGGGAAAGACCAGCAGCAAACCAATGGCCACCACCTGGATGGTGGTCTACGTTAACATTCTGGGCAACAGACTATGAAAAAAGATAGTTAAGTAAGCAATCTGATGCTTGATTAACCAAAAAACGCAGTAAACCACATTTCAGACTCAGGAAAAAAAAAGTATTCTTTGATGCATGATAAAACGAGTACCCAAAGTCAGGATTAGGAAAAAAAAAAAAAAACACATCATTTAACTCATTAGTTTACAGAGAAGGCAGAAGGTAGTGGGAGTAGCAAAGTAATACACAACAGAGCTCAGCTCTCCCATAAAGATGAGAGCCTCTACATATTTAAATATTACTAAACATACGTATTTAAATATTAGAACCTTTATTCAACCCTTGGATGGTCTTCTTTTGGATAGGTCAAGAAGAGACCACAGAGTTTGGACTGCTTTGTGCTTTTAGGGTTTTCTTGTTTGCATCTTTTTTCAGTGCTTTGTTGTCAATCCTGCTTTAAGTCATGGTTTCCCTGTTAAGCTGTTTCATGTGGCCCTATACCCTTCAAAATTAAGGCTTTCTGCTAGGAAGTGATTCTGGAAAAGATCATCACGTGACAACTAGCAAAAGAAAGGACCAAACTGGTGAATCTCCTAATATGTGCTTTCTGTGTAGAGAAAACTGGGAGACCCTTGACACTTACTAATCTCCTCTCCTTTTGTCTCTGCTATTTGGGATATTTTTCTTCTCTTTGTTTGCCTGTATGTGGTTCCTCTCAGCTGATTTGAAAAGCTTGTTCAGCAATTCATTCTTCTGTCTACCAAAGAAAAAGGGCAAGGTTCCATGGAGATGTACAAGAACAGCTATTTTGTGGACAACTTGGGAAGAAAGGAACAAGAGTATTTTTGAGGATAAAGAACTCTGTATGGAGTGCAGAAGTCAAAACGGAAACTGTTACGATAAGGGAGGCCCATTGGATAAGAACACAGAGATACTTCACTGATGTTTCATATGATGATATAGCAGGATGCAGGAACTAGCAGGTGGTAGTGGTTCATCCTCCACAATAGATAGATTAAGGATTCCTTGGCAACCATCTGAGTCTCCTTGAATCAAGATGAATTTTGGTAGTTGCATACTTGATAACCCTGGGAATTCAGGTATTGGGGGTGTTTTCAGACATGCAGATGGGTCTGTGATGGCTTTGTATTCGGGGCCAATTGGGTTTAGGGACTCAACAAGAGCAGATCTGATGGCAGTCTTACATGAGTTAAAATTGAGGAAAAGACTCCAAAACAGGAACATAATAGTAGAGGGAGATTCCAGAGTAGTGGTGGACTGGATAAGAAAACATACACAAGGAACATTGACATACAGGTATATGTTGAAGGAAATAAGTAAGCCGGCAACAGTAATGATGATTACATTTCAATGGGTGCCTAGAAGTGCAAACATCATGGCTGATGCTTTAGGTAGGCAAGGGGTTAGCAGATCTCAATTGTAATGGGGGGAGATTCCTAGGGAATCCATTGTATAACTCCATTTGGGTGTAGATTGTTACACAGGCTATACATCTTCGTTGTACCTACCTGTACATATTGTTCATGTTTTCAATAAAGTTTTGACAGTTACCAACCAAAAGAAAAACATTACTAAGCATACAAGCTATTAACATATCCAAAAACACCTTATCTGATATTTGTATTATTAATAAAGACAAAATTTCAGGATTTAAATTAAAATGGAAAAGATTCTAAAGAACTAACAAAACTGAGCATGCTGCCAGTTCTTTAACCAAGTATATTTTGTTTGGTTACTATTACCCCAATTTAGAAATCATTAATAGTAATAATGTTTGACGTACATGGCATAGACAGCTTAGTCACCCTTATGTTGATATATTAGAGTTCTTGTTTCATTTTGGATGTTTGCATTCTCAAGTTACCTCATTTATTAGCATTAATAAATATTGCATTTCATGCTGTTTGAGCAAGAGTCACATTTTACCTTTTCGGTCATCTCCTGATCATGCTTCTATTTCCATTTAAATTTGTAGAGAATATGAAATATGATGAAAGTGCTTTTTTGGGTTTTTATTTCCTCTTTGTATTTGGGCACCCAAGTAAGGGCAATCTTTCACTTTCAGCAAAATTATAAAGGCTTTGTCTCCAGTGTGAACAATAACCCGAGACACACTTTCATAACTCTCTTCTTCTTTCCTTCTTATTTTGGCTTCACCTTAAACAACTTGGTATCAGAGTACATATGGATTCAGGGTAGGCTTCTGCTGGTGTTCGTTACCCTAGAGGCAGCTTGCTAACGTCAGCAGTCCATACAAGTGGTGGAAACCATCCTTGAAACTAGTATGGTTCAAATCACACTGAATTTAGGGATTTTTGGTATAGGTTTGACCTCCATGTGAAACTTCTGTGGTTTGTTATGATTTTTCCAAAAGGAAATCCACAGAAAATTCAGATTTGAGTTTGAAGCCGTTTCAGCACCTTTAATGGAGTGTTTCTCCTTCAAGCCAATTTTATTTGGCTCTTTTTATATTTCTAGGAAGACGAGATGTGATCCTGTAATTTTATGAACCCTAGAAATTTTTCAGGGCTTTTTTGTTTCAATATTTGTCCCCCAATCTATTATTGGGGCTGTTTTTGCTTCTTAGTCGTGTTGGCTCTTCCCTTGGCCTTGTTGTGTGCCGATGGTGCATTAAAAATCTTTGCGACTCTTAAAATTATTCCCAATTAAAAAATGGAAGCTTATAAGGATGTTCACTTGGTTCCCCAAGTGCTTCCAGGAAACATGGATACCTCCAATGGCATGATAACCACTGTGAAACTTGATGAAACCAACTTCCTAGAATGATCCCAGTCTGCTAAGCTCACCATTGGAGGAAGAGGTAAGCTGGGCTTTATCACTGGAAAAGAAATCAAGCCTAAATCAGAAGACCCGAAGTTTTCTAAATGGGAGCAAGACAATCTAATGGCAATGTCGTGACTGGCTTGCTCCATGCAGCCACATATAGCCTGTGACTACATGTTCTTATCCACTGCATAAGAATATTTGGGATAGGGTTAAGACTACCTATTCTCAAGACAAAAACACTACTAGGATTTATTAGCTCCGTAGGGAGGCCTGTAGTTTGCATCAATTGGAGAGGACCATAGCTATGTATTTCTCCTTGTAGTCATTGTGGGAAGAAATGGATCATTTAGAAGCCTTAGAGTGGAAAGATCTAGAAGATAGGGAGTAGTACAGGAAATATGTTGAGAAGAACATGGTTTTTGATTTCTTGGTGGGGTTAAACTTTGAATTTGACTTTACTCGACAACATATCCTGAGTGCAAACATTGTTTCTCATGTTGCTGTATAGGGAGACCTGTAGTTTGCATCAAGGGGACAGGACCGTAGCTATGTACTTCTCCTTATAGTCCCCGTGGGAAGAAATGGATCATTTGGAGGCCTTAGAGTGGAAAGATCCAGAAGATGGGGAGCAATACAGGAAATATGTTGAAAAGAACAGGATTTTTTATTTCTTGGTGAGGTTAAGCTTTGAATTTGACTTTTCTCGACAACATATCCTGAGTGTAGACATTGTTTCTCTTGTTGCTGCCTACTCCCTAGTCCAGGGTGAGGAGAGCAGGAGAGAAGCCATAATGACATCTCCCATGGTTGAACATTTTTCTTTCATGCCTTCTAAACCCAAACAAAGCAATAGTAAATCTATAATCATTGAGAGGCCTGGTGATGTAATTTGTGAATATGGCAAGAACTCCAGACATACTAAGGACAAATATTGGAAGCTTCATCCTCACCTAAAGCCTGAAAAGTTTAAGATAGGAAAGAAGGGGCAATGCACACTTGGTTGTAGTTGGTAATGATGTTCAGCCACCTATTCCTATGACTTCCTCTCAGGAGTCTTCTGATCTAATGGATAAATTGAAAGGCCTCTTGTTGTATTTGGAAAAGAATAGGACATCCTCTGGTTCTAGTAATCCTTCCAATGCATATGCTAAGTCAGGTACTGCACATGCTTGCCTCTCCACTGATAACCCATGGATTGATGACTCAAGAGCTATTGCACATATGACTGGTATGTCTTCCTCTTTTTCTGATGTGGATAGAAAAACAAATTGCATGCAGCACTTCAAGTATATGACAATAAGCACAAGAAATACCAAGCTGAAAACAACAAAACATGTTGGATTTTTAGGGATTTCAGACCTGAACCTGAAGTAAAACTCCTCTTGGAACAGTTCCGCTACTGTAACAATGGCAGCAAGCTGGCCTCCCACACGGATACACAGTGATAGAGGGATTGGAAGGTGCCAAAATGGGTCGACTCCTCAAAACCCAAGCTCCCAATACTTGAAAACCCTATCTGGGGCTGAGCTACAACTCAAACAAGGGAGAAAGAACTAAAAAGGGCCCCTATAGAAACAACCTCCTCCTCTTTTATCAAACCCAATGGCTTGCTGGAAAAGCAAATTAAAATATCTACATATAAGCCCCTAGAATGTTTCCCTCTCACAAGCAACTCCTTGAGAACAAAACTAACTTCAATGAACCCCCCAAAAGATAACTTTTGTTGCAAAAAAGACCCAAGAGACCAAAATGCAACAGATGTGCACCCAATTGGTCCTGACAAGAATCTGAATTATAAAATGACGAAAATACCCCTGGACCCAAACTGTCAACAAAGCTACCCAAAAACAACAATTTGGGGCCCTACTACAAAAACATGCAAAACAGAATACATTGGCCTTTTTCCTCTTTTTTTTTTCTCTTTTTGGCCTCATCATTCCCGCTAGGTTAAAAAGGGCTCGATCCCATGCGAGCAGCAATTTAAGCAGCCTTGCACATGTCTCCATCTAGCTTCATAAACTCTTCTTCACTAATCCAAGAGTTCTCAATTGTTGGTTTACCTTTCCACTTGTCCAAACTCATTAGAATTGCTGGCCCTTTGTGCTTGTTCTTGCCAAAGTTTTCAAGGCGTCTAGGCGATTCTAGGCGACACTAGGGCGCCTAGTCACCTAGGCGGGTGTCTAGGCATCGCCTAGGCAATAAAAATTTTATAATATAAAAATCTGACTTTTGGCTAGTTTCCTAGTTTTATATACCATTCAGCATGTATGTTAATTGAAAAAATAGCAATTCTCTTTATTAAGAACATTAAATTTCCTCTAAAAATATGGAAAATCATCACATCTAAAAGATAAAAATCTTTTACATATATTAATTTCATTATTTTCAAAAATAATACTACTATAATAAGTATTTAATAGAGAAAATTCATATTAATTAGCAGCTAAAGATGGTTGTCAACTTTATATGATAAATATTCAAGATGGAAAGTAAAATAGAAAAAAAAAAACAAGGATGGAATTTCTGTTTTATTTAATTAGAGAGAGAGAGAGAATAGAAAAAATAACTTTATTATTCTATTCTTTCTTTCCTCTTTCTTTCTTTCTTTTTCTCTTCTCAAAACCCTTTGATCTTTTAAATTTCAATAGTAAGACATTAAAACAAAGTATAATTGATATATATAGCATATAATAAAATGTATTAACACATACATTAATAAGATATAGCAATATAAATGATATTATAAAAGGCACCTGCCTTGTCATTTTTGTCGCCTAGGCGGGTGCTTAGTCGCCTAGGCGGGCGCCTAGTTGCTAAAAGTCAAGGCGTTTGGGTGAGGCGCCCAACCAAGAGCGCCTAGTCGCCTAGGCGACGCCTTGACAACTATGGTTTTTGCTCAACCTTGGTCACTGGTTCTAGATCCCCATGGTAAAGAGGTTTGCTACATTAAAAATGGGTGAAATGGACAAATCAGCTTGTAGCTCAATTTCATATGCATTGTCACCAAACCGTCTCAACACTTTACATGGCCCAATCTTTTTCTGCTTCAACTTATGGTAAGTTCCAACAGGACCTCTCAGGCTACAAACAAACCATGACTAGATCACCCTCATGGAACTTTCATCCGACGATGCTTATCCTTAGCTTCTTTTTACCTTTGGTTGCTTTCTTTCAGCTTCTGTCGCGCATTCTCTTGAATCTCTTGAATGGATTCAGCTAAGGCCTCGACATCATCACTCACTCGCCAAAACCCTATTATTGGAGCTAGATCAACACCACCTTTAGGCGACCAACCATACACAACCTCAAAAGGAGTCTTCCCTTTAGATCTACTAACTGAATCATTGAAGGAAAACTCAACTTGTGGTAGGATAAGATCCTATTGCTTTAAGTAATCTCCAAGTAAGCTCCTCAACAAGTTGCCCAAGCTTCAATTAACGACTACAATTTGTCCATCTGTTTGTGGGTGAAATGTACTACTATATTGTAGGGTAGTACCCATATGCTTCCATAAAGTTCTCCTAGGGGTGTGGCTACGATCCGAGCTGTTCACAAGCTGTTCAAGCTCATCTCATGAAAAGCTCAGCTAGGCTCGGTCTAAACTGAGCTTCAAGCCAAACTCAAGCCCAATAATATAGGTTTGTTTGTTAATTGAGCCAAGCTCAAGTTTAATAAAGCTCGGCTTGTCAGGCTCACGAGCCTAATCAAGTCTATATGTACAAAGGGTGTCACCTCGGCTCGGCACCTCGGCAATTGAGGGAGACCTTGGCTTGGCACCTCGGCTATTGAGGGAGACTTCGACTCGACACCTCGGCAACTGAGGGAGACCTTGACTCGGCACCTCGGCAACTAAGAGAGGCCTCGGCTCGGCACCTCGGCAACTAAGAGAGGTCTCGGCTCGACACTTCAGCAGCTAAGGGAGCTCATCTTGGCACCTCGACAACTAGAGAAGACCTCGGCTTGGCACCTCAAATGCTAGGGAGACCTTGGCTCAGCACTTTAGTAGCTGAGGGAGACCAAAATCAGAGGCAGCCAAGCCAAGCTCAAACTTCCGAGCTTTTGACTCAAGTCGAGCTCAAGCTCAAGCTCAAGTCTCTAGTTTAAATTAAGCTCGAGCCTGATAGTTTATGACTGAGCCGAGCTCGAATAGCTAGATATTCGGCTCAGCTCGGCTCGAATCTACACCTAAGTTCTTCAAAAGTGGCTAAGAAATCTTGTATCATGATCTGATGTGCTAGATCTTGGCAATCCATGCAACCGAACAACTTTAAAAAACAAGTTAGCTACATGAGAAGCATCAAAAGTCTTTTGGCAACCAATAAAATGGGCCATTTTAGAGAAACGATCAACCACAACAAAAATATAGTCATTATCCCTAGCTATTCTTGGCAACCCTAACACAAAATCCATAGTAATATCAGTCCATAATGCTTCTGGTATGGGTAAGGGAAGATACAAACCCGTATTTTGATGTTGCCCCTTAGATGTTTGGCACTTGTGACACCTATCAACATAGTAAAACACATCCTTCTGTAGCCTTGGCCAAAAGTATCTTTTGGAAACCATTTCAAGTGTCTTCTTGCAACCAAAGTGTCCCTTGCAATGCAAATCAGCAATGAGTAATGCCCTCAAAGACCTTGATGGAATGCATAACCTATTGCCCATGAATAAATAACCATCATTCCACACAAACATGGCTCGAATATCCTTGTCACTTGTTGCTTAGCTTCTACAAATAGGGCCAAAATAAGGGTCATCTTGGTATTGATCTTTGATGGAGCTGAATCCCACAACATTAGTAAAATTGTGGTCACCAAGTGAACTCTCCTACTAAGAGCATCGGGTAACCGGTTTTGCTGTCCAACCTTATGCTTCAAAACAAAATGATATTCTTGTAGAAAATCAGCCCATTTAGCATGTTTTCCCTTTATCTTCTACTGAGAGTTAAGATGTGTCAATGCTTCATGGTTTGAATACAACACAAACTCCCATTGGATAAGGTAAAACTCAACATCATAAGTGGAATACCAACTAGTATAATTGAGTTTCTCACTAAAGTAAGCAACTGGACGGCCTTCTTGGCTGATGAAGGTATACTTGGCAGGCCTCGGATCGTGCCACATGGCATCGGCTAGATTAAATCCTGGTCGCACATCACCAACTACCTCCAACCACTCCAAAGCAAGGCCAGCTATAAAACGGGGTGCTCATCTCAAGGTAAAGATACTTACTCTCTTGCATTTAGAATCCCAAGAGAATTATCCTTAGCTATTAAGGACTAAGCTCTAAGCCCTCGTCTCCAGCCTGGTCCAACCCCTCTTTAGCACTTGCCTAACTTGATCATTGGAGTCTTTGCCCCTGGGATAACACCAGGGCCTCTGATGTGTACTCTTCTCCTGTTTACAGGTCGGACCCATCGGCCTACGACACCAGCGGAATTCCCTTGTTTCCCTCGGCCTCATATTTGGCAACAACAGGATGCATCACATTCAACTTCAAAGAGCTTGTTAGAATCAAGTAAAGCCGGTACTAGAGCCTTGGTCATCCTCATCTTTAGCTCTTGGAAGCTTTTCTCAGCCGCGGGAGTCCAAGTAAACTCACCTCCTTTTAACCACTCAATAATGGGTGCCACTATAATGCTGAAATTCTTTATAAACCGACGATAAAATGTTGCTAGCCCATGGAAGCTACGAATTTCATTTAAGGTTTTGGATGTTGTCCACTCTCAAATAGCTTGAATCATTTCTTCATCCACTTCAATCCCTTTGGCTGAAACAACATACCCCAAAAACACCAATTGATCCGTCATAAAATTACATTTCTTCAAATTTATATATAGTTGATTTTGTCTCAAGACTTGCAAGACTGCTCTTAAGTGTTCTAAGTGGCTGTCATGATCTTTGTTGTGGATGAATATGTCATCAAAATAAACTACCACGAACTTCCCATAAAAGGCCTTAGAACTTGGCTCATGAACCTCATAAAGGTACTAGGAGCATTAGACAACCCAAATGGCATAACCAGCCGATAAAGACCTTCCTTAGTCTTGAATGTGGTTTTTCACTCATCATTCCCTTAGATACGAATTTGATGGTACCCACTCTTCAAATCTACTTTGAAAAGACTTGTGAGCCAGCCAATGTGTCTAACATGTCATCAAGACGAGGTATGGGAAACTTGTACTTAATTGTAATCTTGCTAATAGCATGGCTTTCAACACACATGCGCCAACTACCATCTTTCTTTAGTGTGAGCAAAGCTGGTACAGCACATGGACTTAAGCTCTCACGGATCAGCCCCTTCTTCAACAACTCTATTACTTGTCTTTGGAGCTCCTCATGCTCCTTAGGGCTCATTCTATAGTGGGGTAAGTTAGACAATGCTGCTCCTAACACTAAATGTATATGATGTTGTACATCTCTTAGGGGAGGAAGGCCATTAGGTAATCTCTCGGCTGATTACGTGTTTATGATGTATTTCATTATTGATGAGGTGGAAGTGCAGTTGTATCACACATTGTATATACACTATTATCATATGTGCAACTTATGTTTCTGCTTTTGTGAGAGGGACACAATTGTCCTTTCTCTTTATTGTGTGTGTTTGTGTGTGTGTGTGTATATAGACTTGGATTCTTATATTCAAATTGCTTCTGATGGTAGTCAGACACTCAAAGCTAGCAAGGTTAGAACTTAGAAGTGGAAGGGAGACAATAGACTAGGGGTATCGCCTAGGATATAGGCTTCTTTAACAATTCAATACAGGTAATATACTTACCATGCGAGGGGTCTCTTGTGGTGGTTTATATGAGCATGTAAATAGTTCTCCTGTGATGAAAGGATGCCTTGAAGCCTGCAAGGAAAGGAACTTGGATTTGAATGTCTTACCACATCGAAGAACAAGAACCACAGAGAAGGACTAGAAGAACTATACTAATAATTGACATAAGTCAATAACCTGCAAAGGTGACCATCGTTTTGCTGGGTCAAACTCAACAAGTCCTCTCAAGAAATCAATCAATGCTAACCGAGTTAGACTTTCTGCAAAATGATCTTTATGAGGAAGTTATCAAATCTTAGAAAAATGATACTAATTGTCCAACCCAGTCATGCAAAGAATGAAGTGGCTAACCTTTGGAAATCTCCTCTTGAGGCAAGTTTCTTCTGTAAGGGTAGCTTGTAACAATTTCCTCGAGCTTCATATGATTAAAATACTCTTTTCCTATTAATGGTTTCTTCAACTCCCTCTAAACAGTTAAGGCAGAAGCAAAGGAAAGAAGGTTAGGATAACAAAGAATTTTGTAACAATACAATATCCAAAATTGTAGAGACAAAGGTAGAATGTGAAGCAAACCAGTCGGTATACTGTGTATTTAATCCATTTATTTTGTTTACTGAAAAGAACACTTACAGCTTCATATTCCTTTTCAGTCAAAGCTTGGTAAGCACTTTCACCACTCATGGTGGTCTCAATGTTCTCAAAGTGATAAATGCTCCCAACACGCTTAAAGAACTTATTTGTGTTCTTTGCCTCCTTTAGTACATTATCAGGAGGTTGCCCTCTACAAAGTTGAAAAGGATCACACCAGTTAGCAACCAACAATATCAAGTTGCCTATGTTTTTCTACGTAAGATAGTTTTACCCATTAAATTCAATAATCATGCATAACATGCAAACCATGTATGTTAAATGGAAAACTCGTACATAACTACAGGCCTTGTATATGATATATAACAAATATTATCTTGTCTCTCTTTTATTCCATAAATATTACTGAAATATTTTGATTATTATTTAAATGAAGAGGTCAAAATAACAGACTATCTTGTTCAAATTCTTGTTACATCAAGAAAGGAAATTTAAACCTACTATCAATTACCAAAAATAAGTTGCTTAACCACACCTACAAACAGAATATAGCAGAATATACCCAAGAATTTCAATCATTCTCCTTAGAAGATCAAATTCAGATGCTCCAGGAAACAGAGGCAGCCCTAAGAACAACTCCGCAACAATGCAGCCAAAAGACCACATATCAATGGCAGTAGTATATCTGACAGATCAGTGAAGGACCAGATAGCATAAACATGTTACAGAAGTACCAAAGTATACATGTACCATTCTCCATGTGATGGATCCAGAGAATCCCCTATATGCTTGATGCCAATGCAAGCTCTCCATGTGGCAGAAATAGGTGGGAATCATCTAACAAGCTTCACTAATTATCCAACAAGAAAATCATTTTTCCAATACACATACACATACTCGCTTACATATATACATGTCTACATAGATTATAAAAGTTGTCATCAAGAATAAACATATAAATATATATCAATAAAATTTGAAGCTCTGATGTTACATGCTTTTTTGATTGGTAGATATAAATACCCTTAAAACAATAAAATGTATTATAATGACTGGAAAAGAAGATTGTTTCTACAAGGTGAAATGCTTTGCCTTTAAATGGTCCACCTTTCACTTTCAATTAACAAAGATAGACCTCTATAACTGCAAATTTGGACATTTCATCCATAAGGATACTGATACCCAAGAAGAACTTCTGGAGACCTGTAGTAACGGCTCTGCAGCAAAAGGGCAAGGAAGTCAAACAAAAGATGGAGAATTCCCTGATGTGACACTTCCACAGGTTTGTAAAACAACCACATCATTAAAATAATGACAAACTATGTAAGCAAATGTAAACCTGAATGTACGAGTAAACTGTACGATCCTCCATACACGCGGATCCAAAATCAATAATTTTGATTTCTGCTGGCTTCAAACTGTTAATTCCAAGACTACATTTAACGTTTAAAGAAGAAGGTATGCATCCCTCAAAATCTTAATCTCCAAAATTGCCATAACAATTAGCTCACCTTGTACATAGAAGAATGTTTTCTGGCTTCAGATCACAATGAATGACCCCAGCATCTCTCATTAGAACCAACGCATGCAAAATCTAAACAAATAGAGAAGAGAGAGAGAGAGAGAGAGAGAGATGCATGGTAAGGGCACTAAAGGAATGACATGTATTTGTGTGAACCCAACATTAAATTGTATATTCCATCAACTACATTTATAAGCAGAGTTCAAAGAAAAAAAAAAGAATACCTGTTTTGATAATAACTGGACAATGTTCAGGGACAACCCCCTAAACTGGTTTATCTTGATGACTTCATATCTGTATTGCCACAAAAATCATGTCAAGTTTTCATCATAAACAATATAAAACATTAACTGGTAAAAACAGAATAAAATAAATCAATTAACCCAATCAATGGATTTCAAATTTGAACTAGTTGTTGAATAACCTACAGGTTTGCACCAAGCAGTTCAAAGGAAATGCAGAGATGACGTTGGTATACAAAGTAATCAAGGATCCGAACTATGTGGCTCTTATCTCCGGGGTCAAACTTCTTGTTTAACTGCAAAGGGCATAGCAATTTAGCTCGTGAAAAAGGTTTCCTAAGATATCTAGCTTCAAGTAATCCATTTAAAAGAGTTCCTTTTTTTTTTTGATGAATAACATTTAAAAGAGTTTCATTACAGTGGTCAGAATGGAGACTTCAACTAGTGCTTGCTGGTAGTATGCCGGTTGGTTTTTTATGATCTTAACAGCAACATAACTGTTGGTGTCTGGAACCCAACATTTAGCAACCTGCCCAAAGGTCCCATGGCCAAGAACATCTTTAACAATGTACCTGCAAATGATCAAATGAGGTTAACTATTAAATATACGAGGGCTAAGCCAAGTTTTAACATGACATAAGGAAATTTCACACTTTTTTTATTTTATGGTCTAGTAATATTGAGTTGTAGCACAGGGTACTCTTTGTAATTTACCATTATTTTACCATTGAGTATGAACAAGTTTGAATAGTGTCAGAAGACCCATATTTGTGTTCTCCTCACATTGGTGCCTCTTCCAACTTGGCATTAAAGCAGATTGATTGTGGTCTTCTATTGAGTTTCCTAACTCTACACCTGCTGGCATCAACCGACCATACAAATGGCATGAGCATGGTACTGGTCGGTCATTCCCAAGTAACCAGAAAAACTAAATCCCAATGATTTTTAGCTTTTATTGGTGATGATTTCCAACTTGTGTGCAAAAGTCAAGGATTTTTCTTGGATTTTATTCTTTGAAATTAAAAAAAAAAAAAATTCAGTTTCTGTAGATTTGATTGGTGCAGGCAGATGAGCTGCTAAGGGGATTCAGATTTGTCCTTTTTAATCCAAAGGACAGTTGTGAATCTGCCAAACTTGGGTTCACTAGATTAGATGGAATTTTGAGATTGTAGTGAAGACTTTTTCACTTCATTTTTTTCATGCTCAGGCTGAAAATTGCTTTCTTAGGATGCTGTGATGTGGACATTGATCTATGCTGACCAGATTGCATCAGATTTTGATGATGCTGAGGATCATTTCTAGTTAAAAGTTATTTCGATTGGAAGCATGTCTATGTTTGTTCATGGTTTTTCAGTATGAAACTGGAATATGAGAGTGATTTGTTTTTTCTTTTTCTTTGGTAATAAAAAAAGAAAGAAAATTTTTATTAGAAGAAACAAACAGATGACAAGATATCACCCCCAGATTTAGCACCCCAAGACCCACCAAAATACAACCCTTCACCCTTTTTTTAAATACAGAAATCATTTCTCATGAATTACAAATAAACAAAAGAAACAAAGTCCAAATCCATCCCCACAACCCAAACAGGAACCATCAACCCCTTTTAGTAGAACCCAACCAATTATAGTCTTAGGCTATTGGCAAAAATCACCACTCAAAATTCCTTTTAGACTTTTCTTCATTCAACAGATATCTCTTCTCCAAATCCCAGGACAATTTCCTTTTCATTTCTTCCCCGCCTAAGTCTTAACACCAAAAACCCAAAAGCCTTGCTTGATCTCCGGTTTCCACTACCTTGTTTTAACTCTGCTTTTTTTTTTTTTTGATAAATGAGAGTAGTTTTATTAATTCAAATAACGAAAATACAATCAGCCTAGGAGGAGGCACAAGATGTTACCTCCCCTGAGGACTGGACCATGTACACTAAACACCCAAGCCTGAAACACAATTACAAAGTAGCCCAAAACAGTTCTCCCCTTGACACCCCTTGCTTGGCCAGAGAATCAGCCATTGCATTTGCTGATCTGCTAACCCACTGAAACCTGACAGTCATATTTCTTGTCATCCATTTAACTTTCTTTAACAGATCCCTATAGCATCAACAAGCTGTTTTATGCTTATCATCCAGCCCACTATTACCTTGTAATCCCCTTCTACTAACAAATTGTTCACTCCAATTTGACTAGCCATTTGTATACCTTGTACCACTGCTAGTAACTCTGCCCTTACAGAATCACCTTCACCCACTGGTCCTGAAAATTGAGACAGCATATTGCTGTCTTTGTCTCTAAGAAACCCACCAATTCAATTTTACCACTCCATTGGGTGGGGGTTTCCATTCAACTTGTGATTTGTTCTTGGTGGAGACTGTAGAAGCCATCGCTGCCCAGTTTCTCCTCAAGTCATCAAAGGAGCAATCTGCCAACAAATGTGAAGATATTAACCGCGAGATTATCCTTGTCAATATGCATTCTTTGATTTCAGCAAGACTTCTTTTCTTTTCTAAAAATATTCTAGCATTTCTCTCCTCCCATAATATCCACAAGGTAGCAGCTCTGATACATTTCCACATTAGCTTCCCTCTTTTTGTCAATCTCCCTGAAGCAGCCAGAGTGAACAGCAGCTTTACTTCAGAGGGCAAGTTCCACCTGCACCCAAATAAGGAAGCAACCCAGTTCCAAATATTGGCAGCAAAGGAGCATGATATCAGCAAATGGTTACAGTCCTCACCCTTCACTTTACATAGAAAGCACCAATTTGGGGACAAACACATAAAAGGTTTCTTCTTTTGCAAGTTTTCCACAGTATTGATCTTACCATAATAAGCTTCCCAACAGAACACTGCTATTTTGGGGGGTATTGGCCTTGATCAAACCTCTTTAACAGGGAAGACCTGAGAGGAGGGGTTGGAGCAAAGGGCTTTAAAGAAAGATGCACAAGTGAAGGAGCCAACCGGGGTTAGGGACCAGACCCTTTTATCCGGGTTAGGGGGGTCCAAACACACCGAATCTAGAAACAACAATAGCTCTGAAACACAATGAAATTCTTCATCCCTTAACCCTCTTCGAAACCCAAAATCCCAGTTTAAATCCAAAGGGAAAACCGGGGGGAAAGGAACCAAGAAATGGGTTTCTTTTTAAAGAGGGAGATGGAATAGAGAGAAGGGTAACGATCTTTTAGGGGTTGAGTGCTCACCCAAATATCTTCCCAAAAAAGAACGGAGTTTCCAAAACGAGCAACATACCTTACAAATCTGGGGAATTTAGGGAGAATACAAGAGATGGCCTTCCAAGGTGTTGTGAGCATAGCCCTTCGGGATACCCCTACATCCCAACCTAATTCAGAACAGACATAGATACTTTTCACTACTTCATGCCACAACCTCTCCCTCTCCAGGGGCCACCTCCAAAGCCACTTACCTAAAAGAGCCTCATTCTTACTCACCACATTCCCTAAGCCTAGGCCTCCTTTTTTGCTCCGACTCACCACCTCCCACCTAATCAAGTGATCTTTTTTCTCTTCTCCAGGTTCCCATAAGAAGTCCCTCATCAGTTTTTCCAACCTCTTTGCCTCCCTTTTAGGAATTCTAAAGACTGGCAGGAAGTATAAAGGCAAGTTGGCTAAAGTTGCTTTAATCAAAGTAACTCTACCCCCCACGGAAATATAGTTTCTCTTCCAAGCTGCCAATCTTTTTTCGAATTTTTCCACCACCAAGTTCCAGAACCTACTTTCCTTTGGATTTGCACCTAATGGAAGTCCTAGGTAGGATAGAGGCCACTGAGAGCAAGTGCATTCTAACAAGGCTGCTATAGCTCCTCTCTGTTCAAAGGAACTCCCACAACACAACTCTTCTCAAAATTTACCTTCAAATTTGAGGCCCTCTCAAAGTGAATTATTAAATCCTTCAGATTCCTTACCTCCATCAGATCACAACCTTCGCAAAAGATTATTATGTCATTTACAAAATAAAGATGGGTTACTGAAACTCTTATCTCTAACTATTCTCCACCCTCTTAGAGATCCGGCTCTATCCAATTCTGAGAGGAGTCTACTAAAATCATCGACAACTAAAGTGAAAATGAAAGGTGACATGGGATCACCTTGTCTCAGACCCCTACTAGCTGGGAAAAAATCATTAACTACCCCGTTGACTAAGATGGGCCGCTTGACTAGGATGTTCAACTTTTCTTTCTTTTCTACCTCTCTAACTCTCCACAATTTCTCTTCTTCTGGATTGTCTTCCCCTGGAACCTCCTCCTATCCCATTCTCTCTTCTTCTCTCCGCAAAAAAGTCTTCTATTTGAATTTAGGAAAAGACCCCACATCCTTTTTTCCAGCCTCAAGCTTTGACTTAGCTAGGGAAACTTGCAAAGTTAAAAGCTAACTAATGAGATGTCAAGTTTTACCATTCCTTGGGAGACTAAAAAAACTTGCAAAGTTAAAAGGTAACTAAAGAGACACTAACAGGTGCTTTAGGTAACAAAGTTAGTTTATGATCTGATAGGGCGCTTGGCATTTGTATGCTTCAAACATTTCATAAATCAATAAAAATAACTAACTCTTTTTTATTAATAACAAAAATAATTTCATTAATAAAGAACAATTAAGCAAGGATTTAAATATCAATACGATACATCCGACAGAGGGTGTATCATATTGGTATCAGCAAGAGGGCATATAGGATACGCTACAACTAAACCTGTATCACCTAAGTTGCGCATATCGAAGCAATATGCATTCTTATTGGCCCATATCATGTTATATCGGCAATACGCGCTGACACGGAACAATACGGATCAATGTCTTTCTATTCACGCGTTAGTTGTAAAAATGTGACTAAAGTGATTCAAACCTAAATCACCCAACGCTAAAAGCCTTATCCACGCTCTTAATCCACTAGACTACATTTTGTGCTATGACAACAAGTGAAATAGAATATTATTTTATCAATTCTAGTGTCCACATGTAATGCGGACAATCCAATTCAATAAAAAAATAATATTCAAAACTAATATTTTGTAAACTACTAGAATAAATAATTTCTTAAATCCACATTTATATCAAAAA